TTTTATTCTTCTGATGCTGTTGTCATTTACAGATGAACCTCTCTGGTTCCCTGTTGTAATTCTTTTGGTTTTGGATAGTCCTTAAGAGTTCATTTTCTAGGTTGGTATGTGGCTAGTACAATCCTGTGTACTAGATTGAGCCTGTGGTCTGATGTTGTTTGTTCTCAGATCGAATGACTCCCTTTAATAAGTCTTGTAAGTGTGGTTTGGTTTTTACATAGTCCCTTAATTTCTGTTTATCTGGAAATGACCTAGTTTCATGATCATATTTGAATGAGAGTTTTGCAGGATATATTATTCTTGGCTGGCAATTTTTTTTTCCTTTCAAGGTTTTATATATGTCATCACATTGCTTTCTTGCCTGCATGGTTTATGCGGAATAATCTGAGTGAGTTTAGTGTTATTGTTTCTCCTGTGTATGTGACGTTCTGTTTTTCTTGAAATGCTCACAGGATTCTTTTGTTGTCTTGGGTTTTAGAGAGTGTGAGTATGAGATGCCTTGGTGATTTTCTTTTGTGGTCTATCCTATATGGGGTTCACTGGGCTTCTTGGATGGTCAGCTTTTCATCTTTCATGATATTGGGGAAGTTTTCCGTCAGCAATTCTTCAGTGATCCTCTCTGTGTTTTCTGTTTTCTCCCCCTGTTCTGGAACTCGTATCACTGGCAAATTTTTGCTTTTGATTGTATCCCACATAATTCTCTGGGTTTCTTCATTTTTTTCTCTTTCTTCTTTCTGATTTTTCCTCAAACAGAGTTGTAGCCAAGTGTTTGTCTTCAATTTTGCTCATCCTGTTTTCCATTGTTTCAAACCTTTCCTCAGTCCTTCTATGACACAGTCCATTTCTGAAATCTTGTTGTTTATCTTTTGGATTTCTAATTGTTGTTTTTGTATGATTTCTAGTTGTAAATTTATTTTAGCATTTTGTTCCTGTATTATTTTCTTGAATTCTTCCATTTTTTTTGTCTGTATTTTACATGAATTTGTCTGTCTTTTCCATGAATTTGTCTATTTTTTCCTCATTTTTGTCTGCTTTTTCTTCAACTCTTGGATAATTCTGAATATTAGAGATTTTAATTCCCTATCAGGTAGTTCTGGTGCCTTTTCTTCTGCTGGAAAGTCATCTGGTGTTTTATTTTCTATGCCTACTGGAACCGTTCTGTCCTGTTTTTGTATAGTTTAGATATTGTCTGCTGTCTTCAGGGCATTCAGTAGTTATTTTCTTGTTTATTGATTGTAGATTTGTTTGTTTCGTCCTGCTTTTTTGTTTTATTTGGTTATGTTTGAGCAGGCAGGCTGTGCCTTCTTTGTTGTTCACTCGTCTGTGGGCACAATACTTTTCACCTCCTTCTCCAATGGGCAGGGTCAGTCATGCAGGTATGGTACAGCAGGGCAGGTCCAGCTGAAGAGGAGATGCTAGGATGGGTTGTTTGTGGCACGTACTAGGACTGACAGGACAGACTGGGAATCAGTGCAGGGCAGGTTTTGTAGGTGGTGCCTGTGCTGCTTGGGAGTGTGATGTTCAGTGCACAGTGCAGGTAGGCTGGAAGGAGCAGGGGAGATTGTGATGTGTGGAGCTAAGATGGGTATGGGAAAGAGGAGAGAGAGGAGAGAGGAACAGGGGCCAAAAACATACACACAAACTCAAAAGAGTGCTAAGGGAGCTTGCTACTGGAGTGGAGAGATGAGAGACTGATAAATGGAGAAAAATAAAATGACAAGAAGGAAAAAGCATGAAATTTAAAAAATGAATAAATAAAAATTAGAGGGAAAAAAAGAAACGCCCCCTGGGGTCCCACCCATACAGTTGCTACAACTGAGGAAGTTGCTCCCAGGCGGTGAATTACAGCCTGGCTAGAAGGGTAGAGTTGGCACACAGCGCCAGGCTTTCAGGAGACAGGAAGTGAAGGTAAGTATAAAGAGACAAGAAACTGGAAATGAAGAAAGACAAAAATGGAAAAAGATAGAGAAGAAAACAAAACAAACAAACAAAACAAAACAAATAAAACAAGAAAAAATATTTTCCCCTAGGGATGTCACTGTGTATCTGCACAGAGTAAGGGAGTAGCTACCAAGCTTCGTGGTACCCCCAGCTAGAAGGGGTTTCCAAGCTGAGAAATGAAAAAGAAATAAACCAATCAAAACAGAACAAATCAGAACAAACAAAGAAACAAAATCCCCAGGGGTCTCAGCAGCGTGGCAGTGTGGGCCGGGAAGAAGTTTTACAGGTGAGCAGTGTTTCACAACCTTTCAGGAAGAAGCAAAAATGGCACATGGAGCCAGGTATTTGAGAGAAAGAAGGGCGAAGTGGTGAGAGGTAAGGAAGAAATCTAATGAAACAGAAAAAAGCAACACCAGCAGCCAACAAATGGCACTCGGGGAGCCAGCCAGTGTGGGCAGATGGAATCCAAGCGACACTGGGTTGAAGTTGGTGCTTCCTGGCCAAGACACTGTGGCCGCAGGAAGCAGAGGAGGCGAAGTAGTGGTTAAGAAGGGTGGGGGATGGGGAAAGCCTATATCACTGGTTACTGGTTGTCTGGTCTCCTGCTGGAAGCTCCGTGAAGCTGCTTTCTTGTACCGCCTGTTCGCTGATAGGAGTCCAAGATGGTGGATCCGTGTTGCGGTAGCTGATAGGAGACCTCCGCATGTATCTCTCTTCACTCTCTGTTCTCAGTCAGTTTCTTATTCCATTCGGTGTTTGGCTGAGTTCTTTATCTCTTCATTTGATGCTTAGGTTTTCAGGATTGGCGTGTCACTCTTTCTGAGTTAGTTTTTCGGATCTTTGCTGTGGAGGGATTGCGTGGCGGTTCTGTCTATAGTGCCATGTTGCCCGGAAGTCCCGCTCTATGTTTATTTTTAATGGCTTCCCAAGAAACCTACTAAGTCCAGGAAGCCTCAGGAAACTGGCCTTCCAGCACTCTTTCACTAGAAGAAATCTTTCTGAAGAAGATTTCTTAAGAATACTATCCTCATTTAACATATTAATATTCTTATTACTTGTGTATATTAATTTCTTAAATATAATTTCTCTACTTCCTGATTTGATTCTTCTTTTCTTTCATTTTCTGCTCTTTAAGTCTCCATATGATGCATGGGTACAATTTTTTCCTTTTTTCTGCTTAACTTGCATCAATATACATACCATGAGAGGTAGATATTACTACACATACACAACAAAATAGATAATTCTTACGATGTACAGTTTTAGCCTGTGTCCAAAAATGGGTGTTTGTGAGTTATAAGTATATAATATTCTTTTTATAAGTAATATGCTTATTACTAAATTGGCAAAGATCCAGATGATACATTCTGATCCAATGTCCGTAGTGAAACATTCAAGAACAATAATAAAAGCTATTGTTTATTGATTCTTTATTAGGTTCCAGGCAGTGTTCTATGTACTTAACATGCAAAAAACACACACAAAAACTTAAGCCATAGGTAGTGTTAGTATCCCCATTTTACAAATTACGAAACTGAGGCACAAAGACGTTTATTAAGTTGCCCATGGTCACATAGATAGTAAGTGGTGAAGGTGGAATTCACAGTTTCACTCCAGAATACACATTATTCATCACTGTGCTATGCTCTCTCTCCAAGGATATGCTGGGCCTTAAATAGGTACAAACCGAATGAGACATCTTAACCATTATTAGGTCACTGTAATGATCAAATCTGTACACTGGCTAGCATTTTTAAAGTAACAGTGATGAACTTGGAGATTGTTGTTTAATTATAAATATATAAATAGAAATATCCAGCAGAATAAAATAAGAAGGAGTTCCACTGATAGTATCACAGATAGTTGGATTGGGAAGGATTCTGAGATCATCTAGTTTAATCCTTTTATTATCCAGTGAGTAAACTGAGACACGTTTGTGACTAAATTTAGAAAATTATTAAACTCATACCTTCTTACACTGAGTTTGGACTTTTCCCTTGAGTATGTTTCTTTTTGGAATCTGGACATTGAAGTTCTAATTTTGACCACTTTCAGTGCCTAAGAAGCATTATATATAAAACTCGGTTCCATTGTTCTCCACATCTCAGAGTCTATTTTCTCCCCCATCACTACGCAGCTCACCCCTAGCTGATTTTAAAAATACTGGCTGCTAATGTGCTAGTTGGTGATTGTTATGTGTCAGTTAACTCCAGTTCGAAAATATTTGCTGAAAATATAGATCATATTGTAAAGATACTCACCACAAATACTACCAACTCAAAGTACTGACTCTATGTCATTAGAGTATGGAAGTGTGTTAAAAGTTGTGGGATAAGCAAAGAGGAAGTGGAAAGCATTGTAGACCCTTAAGAAGAAACAGACATTCTATGTCCAAATAATTGGTACAAGGAATACTGTGCTAAAGAATTTTGTAGTTATCTGATACATTTCAAAGTCCAGCCTCATCATATTTAACAAGAGATTCATAAAGACCCAACCACCTTTGTGGCAGGAAGGACCGATCTTCTAATAGTGGAATATCATAATATTTAGTGAGATATTCCTGAAGAGGGCTTATTTTTGGTGCTATATAGATCATATTGTAAAGGTACTCACCACAAATACTACCAATTCAAAGTACTGATTTTATGTCAATTTATTTATTTAGAGTTTATCTTCACCACCAGAGAATAAGTTTGTTGAGGGTAGAAATCTTCTCCCCCTTTATCATTGCTGACTTCTGTGCCAAGTACTGTCATCTTTGAAAACATGATTAACTATTGGGCCTCTGACTGTTCTTCTCTATAGAAGATCCACTTAGATTTAGAGATAGAACTTGTTTTTTGTAGGTTCAATCCAGTCATCTGAGAAGTAGAATTGTTGAGGGAATTGGAATCTGTGGAAGAAAAACTCAGTAGATATTTCTAAATGTTTATTATGTATAACCTCTGTAGAAGATTAATAGTGAAGAAATACCCCATGACATAATGGACACATTCATAGTATTGTTCATGATTTCATTACAGGTCTTGTTCTCCTGAGTTCTCATCTCTGTAACAAGTCTTGCAGAAGAGTTAATGGAACACAGTAACAATGTAACAGAATTTGTCCTTCTGGGACTCATTCAGGATCCTGAGGGCCAAAAAGTGTTATTTGTCATGTTTTTGCTCATCTACATTGTGACAATGGTAGGCAACCTGCTCATTGTCATGACTGTTATTTTCAGCCCCTCTCTGGGCTCCCCCATGTACTTCTTCCTTGCCTATCTGTCAGTCATGGATGCTGTTTATTCCACTGCTGTTTCTCCCAAAATGATTGTAGACTTACTCTGTGATAAAAAGACTATTTCTTTCCCAGCTTGCATGGGCCAGCTCTTTATAGAACACTTATTTGGTGGTGCTGAGGTCTTTCTTCTGGTGGCAATGGCCTATGATCGCTATGTGGCCATCTGTAAGCCACTGCACTACTTGACCATCATGAATCGACAGGTTTGCATTCTGTTGCTGGTGGTGGCCTGGGTTGGAGGTTTTTTGCACTCTGTGGTTCAACTTCTCTTTGTGTATAGCCTCCCCTTCTGTGGCCCCAATGTCATTGATAACTTCGTCTGTGATGTGTACCCTTTATTGGAACTTGCTTGCACTGACACCTATTTTATGGGTCTCACCGTGGTTGCCAATGGTGGAGCCATCTGTACGGTAATTTTTATCCTTCTACTGATCTCCTATGGAGTCATCCTCAGCTCCCTGAAGACTCACAGTCAGGAAGGGAGGCGCAAAGCCCTGTCCACCTGCAGCTCCCACATCACAGTGGTTGTCCTCTTTTTTGTCCCCTGTATTTTCATGTATGTTAGACCTGTTTCCAACTTTCCCATTGACAAATCAATGACTGCAGTTTTTACGGTTATCACTCCGCTGTTGAATCCTCTGATATACACCTTGAGAAATTCTGAGATGAAAAATGCTATGGAAAAAATGTGGAGCAGAAAGTTAACCACAGGTAGAAGAAGGCTGTGCATCCACACTGATAATACCACTTCTAAAGCTAAAGTAGCAAATAGGCAATAAATTATCACAATGAACGATTTAGTCAATTCAATGGATTCTCTAGGAATACTTCCCTTTATTGATGCAAAGTCATCCAAAATGTGGAGTACATTATTCTTTGTGGTTAGAAATAACCTAATAGAGACATTCTGGAGGCTGGATAAAAGGCATAGGTATTCTTCCTGTTACAAATAAAAATAAAACTGAGCTCACATTGTAATTTTATTTTTCTCAGTACATACTGAAATGGGACTTAGAAGAAATTCTTTTTTTTCCTTTTAAAAAGAGAAAAACAAATTACTCTAGAAAATTTTCTATCATCCAAATTAATAATAAAACAATTTCGCTAATACTTAGAACAAATTTCTGAGTCCAAGAGAGTGGTTTTAAAATTTTACCATTTGTTATTCTATTAGCACAACAGTTTTTTAGCTACATGGTGCATTTTGTGTTTAAGATTACTTCTGTTCCTCTGGCCAATGTCTATGCATTTGCAATTCTGCATATTTAAGTGGGACATGATATTGTGTTTGGTTTGAGACACTATCAGTGAGCAATTCTGATAGATGGAATGAGGTTGATGAAGAAAACTGATTCTAGTACTTGATTAGCGGACAGATATACTATTTCACTTTGGATGTGAAAATCACATTAATACTAAGTTATAAACATTTTTTATATATTCTTTGTTAGTTATTATGTGCATTTTTTTGCAATTCTTTTTTTTTATGTTTTTGGTTTTTTTTTTTTGGTAAAATTGTACTTTAGATGAAGGTTTACCGAACAAATAGTTTGTCATTAAACAGTTAGTACACATACAGTTTTATAACATTGGTTAACAACCCCACTACATAACACTCTTCCTTCTTGACCTTGGGTTCCTTATTACCAGCTAAGGATTTAAGGATTGACGTTTGTCTCTGTTTGACTTAGTTTTTTGGGTCATTGCTGTGGAGGGACTGTGTGGTGCTTCTGTCTATAGCTCCATGTTGCCCAGAAGTCCTCTCAGTTCTTAAATGACTAGGTAGAGCTTCTGATTTTATCTCCATGAAATTGAAGATATGGAAAGAAATGTATTATTTTGCATAAGCAGCATGTTCACTAAAAGTTGTATTAGACTTAAACAGTTTTTACCTATAGACTTAGTAATGATTTGTTTTGGCAAAAACAAAATCTTGTTTTTTTAATTTTATGTAAAAAAATAAGTTTTTCTCAGTCTACAGCCCATCCTAACATCCAAAAACCAGAAAGAAGAAAGAATTTTTTAAGTGTAATATGGAACATTATCTATGCTTAATGAGAGTTTACTTTTCTAACTAAAAGAAAGATTTTAGAATTTTTCTTATTTTTAAATTTTAGTGTGTAATTTTTCATGTATATCCAACAACATATGCAATTATTTATAAATATTATAGCATCTTAACTAGAATATTATCAATATCATTGAAACTACCTGATTGCACTTCTCTGATGTCATTTCTCCACCTCTTGTCAGAAGTAGTCCCAATCCTAATGTTTTAATCATAGTAAAACATAGTTTAAGTATGTATGTATGCATCTTTAAAGTATATTGTTTAGATTTTCTTATTCCTTACTTTTATTAAAATTACATTATGTAGACCATAGTTTTCTGAATCTTAACTTTTATCACTCAGTGTTAACTAAGATTTGATTATATTGCTGCATATACCTCTAGTGCAATTATTTCTCCTACTGCATATTATTTCATTGGTTGAATATACCATAGGTTATGTATCCATTTTCTAGTCAGTGCTCATATGGATTGTTTCCAGTTTTTGTTATCATATGCAACATCACAGTGCGCATTCTAAAAGAAATTCTTTCATGTTAAGTAGGGGTATTTACATGTTCACTTTTAGAGACAGTTGCAATTCTTTCCTAAAGTGGTATCATCAGTTACACTCCTGGCAGCAGGGTTTACCAGTTCCATTACTCTATATACTTACCAACACCAGATATTGTCAGAAGTTTGGTATTTTGATCATTCAGTGGGTATAGAACCGTGGTTTTACTGTGGTTTTAAAATGCATTTCTTATTTCTGTTGAAGTTGAGCACATTTTCATATGTTTATTAGACACTAATTTTTACCCTCTTTTATGAAATGTATATACATGTCTTTTGCCTGTTTTTCTACTGGATTATTTTTCTGTTATTAAATTTTATGTACCCTGTGTACCAAATTTTTTTTTAATTGTACTTCAGATGAAGGTTAACAGAACAAATTGTTTCTCATGAAACAGTAGTAAACATATTGTTTTATGAAATTGGTTAACAACCCCACAACATGTCAACTCTGTCCCTTCTTGAACTTTTTTTTTTTTT